GAAGTGAAGATGACTTCATACTTCTTCCTCCTCTCTCCAGGCAAACACAACTGCTGCAAGCACTGCTGTCACCATTTATAACGGGCTTTAATTGGGTAGGAGTGAGTACACAACGGGCAGTGTGAGGGAGTGACCGCAAGCCAGTCCGTGGAGGGGGAGCACTTGTGTCTATCAAGTCGGTCGGCCTCGGAGTGAGAGGGAGGCATGGGGACGGTTATGGTTACTGGGATACTGAGCATGGGGACTGTGACGGTTACTTTGCGGGGACTTAGGTTTGTAACACTCCGATCGGTAGTGCCCTCGTTTGCCACAGTTGAAACAAGTCACTACACGCTTAGCGGGTGAGGTTGGGGGTGGTGTCTGCTGGCGACGTTTCGCCCTGGTCCAGGAAGTCGATGACTGCCTTTTTGTATGAGACTGACTGTTGTTACTGTGGTCAAGATTTTTACTTAGGCGCGTGTTAGTGGGACTGGGGTTAGAAACTTTGTAGGCTGGCTGTCTGACAGCAGCAGCAAAAGTGACTTCTGGCTGCGACCGCGGGGTCACTGTGGACAGCGCCGGAAGGATGGGTAGGGGATCATCCGCAATGCGGCAAACCTTGCCTTGCTCGGAAGGCGGCTTGAGCGAGTCGATGGCATCATATGCACCCAGGACGTCGTGCTGAGGGCCGAGTCCTAGCGCATCAATGGCAACCCAGAGGTTAGGGGCGGCATCCCTCCGCATGATGCCGACAGCCAGCATGGGGATGATGTCTTTAGCATCAATACGGCCGTCACCATCCACCCACTTAGTGGAGCTGATGGCATCAGTAAAGTCCGTGGCGGCTTGCTCGAACCGGCAAATGCAAGCCAGGGGGCTTTCGTGCCGGTATTGACGTTCGGCCAAAACGCTGGTAACGATGTCAATGTAATGGCGTTGGCAACTACTCCAAAAATAACGCCTAAATTCCTCCTTAAGTTCGTGCCAAGACTGCATCTTACAAACGCGCTTGAGCCGCACAAAGGCACCTATATCCTCCTGGTTGAGATCCAGCATGGGCTGTCTGTACAGACAGTACAGGCTGTCTACACAACATATCCCTCCAAACTGCTAATATCCTGAACCCCTGCTTTAGAGTGCAGGCATTGTACTTCCCATTTCCAGGACTCAAGTCCGGCTATATAAAAATAACCGGTTTCCCTGAATCCCTTCACTAAATATTACCCTGCTCACACTCCAACAGATCATCAGGTCCAAAATACCATTCGTCTCCATTCACTCCTATCTAACACGCTCTCGCACGCTTGCTGGAAGCCCAAGCCCCTCGCCCACAAAGCCTCCTTTACCCCCTCTCCCTCCAACCTTTTTGAGGACGACCCCTACCCTGCCTTCGTTTCCCTACAGATTTATACGCTCTCCATTTCATTCTACTTTCATCCATTTTCTCTAAATGACCAAACCACCTCAACAACCCCTCTTCAGCCTTCTGACTAATACTTTTATCAACTCCACAGCTTCTCCTAATTTTCACACTCTGAATTTTCTGCATAATATTTACACCACACATTGCCCTTAGAGAGGACATCTCCACTGCCTCCTACTGCCTCCTTGCTGCTGCATTCACAACCCAAGCTTCACACCCATATAAGTGTTGGTACTACTATGCTTTCATACATTCCCTTCTTTGCCTCCATAGATAACTTTTTTTATCTCCACATGTACCTCAACACACCACTAGCCTTTTTTCCCTCATCAATTCTATGATTAACCTCATCCTTCATAAATCCATCCGCTGACACATCAACTCCCAATTATCTGAAAACATTCACTTCTTCCATTCTCCTCCTCCCCAATTTGATATCCAATTTTTCTTTATCTAAATCGTTTGATACCCTCATCACCTTACTCTTTTCTATGTTCACTTTCAACTTTCTACCTTTACACACACTCCCAAACTCATCCACTAACCTTTGCAATTTTTCTTTAGAATCTCCCATGACCACAGTATCATCAGCAAAAAACAACTGTGTCAGTTCCCATTTTGTCTTCCTGGGATAGGTTATGAGGGGGGTGTAAATGAGGTTTTTAGTCCTAGGGGCTTGAGTGTCCACCCCTAGGACTGAGCATGTTTGATTGGAGTGAAGACAAGTTTTTTTTTTTTTTTTTTTTTTTTTTTTTTTTTTTTTTTTTGTAATTGACATGCTGTTGAAGTTCAGGCAAAGTAATATTGATGAAAAGATTCAGGGAAACTAGTTAACTGGACTCGAGGTTTGGAGGAGGGTAGTAGTATCTGCATTCTCAGGAGAGGTGGGGATATTATAGCTCGGAGAGTTGTTTGTCTTGTGTTATGGACACACGACCATAGCACAAGATACAGATCTCTTTTTGATGCTCCCCGTAAAAACTATGCACATAAAGGGCCCCAAAATTTGGAATTCATTACCAGAAAATACCAAAGTAACCCGTTCTGAAAATCATTTAAAACTCTTCTCAAAAGCCACTTAATCACCCTAGACTTAAATACTCAATATATAACATTACCAACAAATCTACCAGTTACCTAAATCTTAAACCTTCATGACTAGACAACTAAGCTCATATATTGACAAGTTACCACATAGACGTATACATACCTACCAAAACCAGTATTGCCCTTCACCAAATTGTAGCAGTCTCATACTGTAAAGTACTGAAAACTACTCCTGAATCATGTTTCATAAAAACATTTTTGAATACATGAATATATCCTTTGGTTTGTATAAATTAGATTCACTTCTTATGAATAGAACTATTGTACAACTATGATAATTTCTTTAGTGATAAGTAGTCACTAAGCCATTAAATTAAGTCAGCCCTTAATGCCAAGGCATAATAGAGGCTCTTTGTGCTGCAACTCCTCATTGTAAAAATCTAATCTCAATGTAGTACTTGCAAAGAAATAAATGAATTTGAATTTTCTTTTGACAGGACAGCTATTGAATGAGTGATAGTGGATTTGTTTGGGTTACCCTACCCCAGTGGTAGATGTGTGGTATGTTAAAAAAAAAAAAAAAAAAGCTACTGTGAAAGTGAGAAGTCACTAGTTTAAAAATTGACTGTTTTTTTTTCAGATTTTGTATGGCAATAAAATGAATGTACAAGCTGCTATGACAAGCTTGCAGTGCTTGGAAAAAAGAAAAACTAGTCACAGAGCAGTAATATAAAGCATGGTTGTTGAAGCGGTGAGAAAGGGTTGGAATTCACTTTGAATTAGGACAGTGAGTGAAGACATCATCTACATAATAGTCAAAGGACATCAGCAGTATTGAGAAATAGAGCATTTATAAATTCTCTACTCCATATACAGTGATAGGGAAGATATCATAGTAGTGTTTTAAGCTAGGAAATAGTCACCTTGGAAAACAAAAGTAATGAAGCACACAGATACGAATATGATCAAGAAAAACATAAATTTGATTAGGGAGGTGAAGTAGCTCCTCAGTGACCTTTTCTCTTATAAAAATGAGATCATCCAGTGGAAAAATAGACTGTATTAAGGTTTATTATTTTAATAGTTGGGCCTTAACTTTCAGTGAAATCCTAAGAATGAAAGGTGTGTGTAGGAGATAAGAAGCAAGATAATGTGTGTGCGTGTTTTTTTTTTTTTTAGCGAGGTAGAACCAAGATCTCTCCTGTAGTGGAGGGAAGAAGGGGTAGGGGTAATCCTAAGAAAGGTTTGAGGGAGGTACTAAAGGATGTTTTGTATTGGGGGGTGGCCTTTGATATCCAACAGGCATGTGTGAGAATTTTGGATAAGAGTGAAGGCCAGTAGTTTTTATGACATGATGTTCTGTTGGAGTGTAAGCAAGGTAATATTTATGAAGAGATTCAGGGAAGTGAATTAGCTGGGCTCAAATCCTGGAGGTGGGAAGGACAGTGCTTTCACTCTGAAGGAGAGGTTTCGGAATATTGCAGTTTTAGAGGAACATCTGAGATGGTGATGGAGTGATGGTGAAAGTGTTTCTTCTTTTTTTGGGTCATCGTATCTCAGTGGGAGATGGACAGTGTATTAAAAAAAAAATAGAAAAGGGAGTTTGAAGAGGAAGTGATAGGTCATAAAGGGACACAATGTTTGTATTTACTGTGATCTCAAGACTCCCTGTCCCTTAACATTTAGCACTTCCACTATGAATATAATAATAGTGGGTTCAAGCTCCTCTCTATAATTAAATATTTGTATTGTTTAGGCTCTGCAGAGTAGAAACAAAATTATTTAAGGAACTTTTAAAGGTTCTTCCTGAATGTAAATTATTTTTGTCATTCCAGTTGTTTTATACGAAAATGTAAATGAAAATATATTTGACGGTTTGTACCTACTGGTTCTTTCTGCAGTTGAAGTTGTAACAAAGCTCAAATTAACCATCTTTTTTTTTTCAGTAACCTGAAGTGAAGCTGATGCCAGTGGACATAGATTTAAAAATGCATTTTTCTTCCTGTTGTCATGAGCTGGTACCTATTTTATTGTGATTGTAATCCAACTAATATGCTTAAAAATCTAAATAATATACTTGAGAGAAGAGTTTTCTTTGAATTGGTATGGTGAGGCACACTGCAGTATTACCTGTAACTAGGTTAAGCATCTGCTAATCCATATAGTTATGTGAAGCAACCATGTATGTCTGCTTCACATAACTATATGAACTCAGTGCTGCCAGTCCAGTGGTGGTATCCTGGTAATCTGTTTGGGGCTCTGGGTGTGTGCTGTATTTGTTTTGGAGAAATGCTGATATACACGTGGTATCCTATTTTGGGCTCTGATTTTAGGAACTCCAAAGGAGCTTTTGAGTACTTTTTCTCAAACTAGGGTTCCTCACTTGTGAAGAAGCAAATCATACAAGATTATTCTCTTAAGGATTTAATAATATTTTTCTTTGATTTGGTTTGTATCTCTATTATGAGTTGTCAATGATAATTTTGTTTGCTTTATTTTCATGTAATGTCCTATTTGGAAAATCATTATTTTTTCCTTTGACTTTTAACAGGAGAATAAGGACAGTAGACTAAAACAACTGGAGAATGAGCGCCATGATTTTGACGTGATGATGGAATTAGCACTAAAAAAGAAGGAACTGAAAGAGAGTGACCTAAGGAAAAGCTTAGATGTAAGTTAATCCTCCATAGTAATGTTTCAAATTCTACATTACTTTAGTAAGAGTTAAATTAATGAGATTAGCTGTCCAAAATCTGTAATGTGTTTGTTGATATCAGGAGTATGGTAGACTGTGTGGCAATAATGATTGTGAAAGAGGGTCGGGTAGCTCCTATAGGTCAATTGCTTATTTTTATATTTTAAACAACTGGCTGTCTCCCAAGAGTGACCTAAAAGAGGAAATACTCACCGTCATTCAATTGACAGCTATCTTGTCAGAAGTGCATAGACATAACAGTTTAAATTGACCTTCTGAACTGCATCATCCCAACCCTCTTTCTGAGTGCAGGTACAGTACTTCTACCTCCGCAAGAAGTCTGGTTAACCAATTTTCTTGAATCCCTTCATAAATTTTACCGTGTTCACGCTCCAGCGGTATGTCAATCCATAAAATTCACTTGTGACCATCATAGGAGTGTAGACAAGAACCTGCTATATACTCAAGCCCATTAGCACTCAAGACTGCCTTTTCCTACTCCCACTAACACATCCTGGAACAATCCCTAACCTACCCTCCTATCCACCCCAAATTTATTCCCCCACTTAGTCATGAATTTCCTCATCATGCTGTAAATGCCCAAACCACTTCAGTAAGTCCTCAGTCCTCCGAATCATACCTTTGGTAACCCAAGACTATCTTTTTCTTTCTGCACTCTGAATTCTTCGCAAAACATTTTTCTTACCGCACATTGCTCTCAAACGGGTTATTTCCATTTTCTCCAGCCTTCATATATATGCTTCACACCCATGAAAGTGTTAATATCACTATACTCCTATACATTCTTCTTTGGCTTAAATGATAAACATTCCATGGATGCCTTGACACGCCTACCTTTTACCAGCTCTTGTCATGTAGGGGGGTACTGATTGAATAGGATATAAGTGGGGAATATGGGAGTAAGGCAGGGGAGAGGCAGGCGAGGTGGTAGGAGTGAGATGATTAGCGGAGGTAGGTAGGTAATGACAGGTCAGTGGTGACCACCACGACACTCTCATTAACTCTACACTACTCACTAACATATGCCTCGCCCATTCTTCACTCATATATAAACATAATAAAATATAAGAAAAAAGAATAAATAACGGTGGGCAGTGAATATTGCTATTCTACTCAAACACAGTTTATTAAAAAGTCTTTGTACAATAATATATTTGGGAACAGAACATTATTGTGGTTTAGATAAATGGGGTGGTACACATAAGCAGTGAGACAGGGAACACGATCAACTTGACCAAAATGAATGTAACTTACAATATAGTTCAGAGGGCAGTTCATCACAGGAACTAAGCCACAGGTCCCAAGACCTACACAGCACGAGTACTGTGCCAAGCCAGTACTCTGCCTAATGCCTCCAACAGTCTCCTCCAGAGACTTCAGCAGCCTTCTCCCGAGCCCTGCACCCCAGCAGCAGCTCCGCTTTTATGGTGGTCCAAGCACCCTCCACAACCACGTGTACGACCTGACGCCTAGGTCTGACGCCGTCAAGAACAAAAGACCTCAGACGTGGGCGTAGCTACTGACGTTTGCCAAGGCAAGGTGTGACCATATATAAATAACAAAAAGGCACAATACCGTGACTGGAACAATACACAAATAACCCGCACATAAAAGAGAGAAGCTTACGACGACGTTTCGGTCCGACTTGGACCATTGACTTTGTCAATGGTCCAAGTCGGACCGAAACGTCGTCGTAAGCTTCTCTCTTTTATGTGCGGGTTATTTGTGTAATGTGACCATATAATTGGTTAAATTAGGTCTCCCCAGAGACCTCACAAGCCCAGCTGAACTACATCACACACTCCCCCTCTCTGCCCTCCCCCCTCCTGTTCTGTTATATGATTTGTCCTATTTTCTATAGACCCACCTGTTAAAATGTTTACTCCTTTTTATCTCGATACATTCACTTCCTTCATACTCTTCCCTGTAATATACCTTTTTTTATATACGTATATCTCGCTCATTGCTTTACTTTGTTCCCACTGAGGCAGGGTGACCCAGAAAGAAAGAAAAACCCAAAAGCAAAGAAAAAACATTCATCAGTCAACACTTTCACCATCACTGATACATGATAACTGTCTTTGCAGAGGCTCTCAGATACGACAGTTTAGATGTCCCTCCAAACTGCCAATATCCCAGATGCCTCCTCTAAAGTGTAGGCATTGTACTTTTCATTTCCAGGACTTGAGTCTGGCTAACTCGTTTCCTTGAATCCCTTAACAAAATATTACCTTGCTCACACTCCAACAGCTTGTCAAGTCTCAAAAATCATTCATCTCCATTCACTTCTATCCAGTGTGCTCACACACGCTAAGTCCAAGCCCCTTCCCCACAAAACCTCCTTTACTTCCTCCCTCCAACCTTTTCGGGGAATGATGACCCCTACCCCGCCTTCTTCCCCAGTAGATTTATACGCTCTCCAAGTCTATTCTGCTTCGTTCCATTCTCTATAAATGACCAAACCACCTCAACAGCCCCTCTTCATCCCTCTGATGAATACTTTTACTAACTCCACACCTCCTCCTAATTTCCACACTACGAATTCTCTGCATAATATTTACACCACACATTACCCTTGTACACAAAATCTCCACTGCCTCCAGGTGCCGCGGGCTCTGCAGCATTTACAACTCGTACGTCGCACCCCTATAAGAATGTTGGTACCACTGTACTCTCGTACATTCCCTTCTTTGCTCCCATGGAAAATGTTTTTTGTCTCCACAGACACCTCAATGCACCACTCACCATTTTTTCTTCATCAGTTCTATGGTTTACCTCCCTCTTCATAAACCCATCCGTTGACAAGTCAACTCCCAAATATCTGGACACATTCACTTGTTCCATACTCCCTCCAATGTGATATCCAGCTTTTCTTTATCTAAATTGTTTGGTACCCTCATCACTAAACTCTTTTCTATGTTCACTTTCAACTTTCTACCTTTACACCCTCTCAAACTCGTCCACTAACCTTTGCAAGTTTTCTTTAGAATCTTCCGAAAGATTAGATTTTTAGATTTTGCCACCGAAGTGGCTAGTTTATTGTGCACCCCATATCCATCCTGTGGACGGTAGCGCGAGAGCATATGGATACACAAAAGGCCTAGGAACTAGGCCCCAAAGGGTTAACAGGAATACATGTGGATTTATATCTACATATCTATAGTTCACTTATCTGTTACAAGCAAATTTAGGAAATTTGCTTAGTATATCTGGTATCTTATTTTCATTAATAAGATATCTTGACATGTCACATAGATTATTATACTGTCTGTCTCTGTATTCCTCAATAAGTGGACAATTAAGCACATAGTGTTCAAGAGAGTGACCATATGCCTGATCACATAATTTACATTTAGTTTGATCATCATCTGTGTGTCTCCCAAACTGCCAGAAGTACTTGTAACCAAGCCTAAGCCTGGCCACTACAACATCAGTCAGTCTGTTCACATTGCAAGTTGCTCCATAAACATACTTATCTACGTTCATGTTATCATAGTGGGTTATAGATCTACTCAGGCTTCTAACTGCATTCCTATAACAATCATCTTCATTATTTACTTTTTATTTTTTTTATTATCACACTGGCCGATTCCCACCAAGGCAGGGTGGCCCGAAAAAGAAAAACTTTCACCATCATTCACTCCATCACTGTCTTGCCAGAAGGGTGCTTTACACTACAGTTTTTAAACTGCAACATTAACACCCCTCCTTCAGAGTGCAGGCACTGTACTTCCCATCTCCAGGACTCAAGTCCGGCCTGCCGGTTTCCCTGAATCCCTTCATAAATGTTACTTTGCTCACACTCCAACAGCACGTCAAGTATTAAAAACCATTTGTCTCCATTCACTCCTATCAAACACGCTCACGCATGCCTGCTGGAAGTCCAAGCCCCTCGCACACAAAACCTCCTTTACCCCCTCCCTCCAACCCTTCCTAGGCCGACCCCTACCCCGCCTTCCTTCCACTACAGACTGATACACTCTTGAAGTTATTCTGTTTCGCTCCATTCTCTCTACATGTCCGAACCACCTCAACAACCCTTCCTCAGCCCTCTGGACAACAGTTTTGGTAATCCCGCACCTCCTCCTAACTTCCAAACTACGAATTCTCTGCATTATATTCACACCACACATTGCCCTCAGACATGACATCTCCACTGCCTCCAGCCTTCTCCTCGCTGCAACATTCATCACCCATGCTTCACACCCATATAAGAGCGTTGGTAAAACTATACTCTCATACATTCCCCTCTTTGCCTCCAAGGACAAAGTTCTCTGTCTCCACAGACTCCTAAGTGCACCACTCACTCTTTTTCCCTCATCAATTCTATGATTCACCTCATCTTTCATAGACCCATCCGCTGACACGTCCACTCCCAAATATCTGAATACGTTCACCTCCTCCATACTCTCTCCCTCCAATCTGATATTCAATCTTTCATCACCTAATCTTTTTGTTATCCTCATAACCTTACTCTTTCCTATATTCACCTTTAATTTTCTTCTTTTGCACACCCTACCAAATTCATCCACCAATCTCTGCAGCTTCTCTTCAGAATCTCCCAAGAGCACAGTGTCATCAGCAAAGAGCAGCTGTGACAACTCCCACCCTGTGTGTGATTCTTTATCTTTTAACTCCACGCCTCTTGCCAAGACCCTCGCATTTACTTCTCTTACAACCCCATCTATAAATATATTAAACAACCACGGTGACATCACACATCCTTGTCTAAGGCCTACTTTTACTGGGAAAAAATTTCCCTCTTTTCTACATACTCTAACTTGAGCCTCACTATCCTATTTACTTCTCTCCTAATATTATTCCTAATGCTAGACACAGTTATACCAAAGTTATATTCTACGTTCTCCTTCTGGATACTCTTCTTGGCTAACATATCAACTTTATCATGAAGGAGTAATCCAATGTGTGATGGGATCCATAGCAATTGTACATTAATTCCTTTGTCCCTAATTTTTGAG